TACAGCATACGAGCTTGCTGTCCTTGGCACGCTCCACAATACACAAGACGTCGTGTCCCCGCTGGATCAGGGACACACTCTTGGTAGTTCGGGCGAGGAAGAAGGAACCATTCCCCGCTACTACTTTACCCCGAGGTACTCTTCTACGTCAACATATCAGCCGAGTCAGATCTCGCCTCAGAGTCGCCTAGACATCCCCTCGCCGAAGGATCGCTTATTCGATATGGCTATGGCGAGGCCATCCCCCACATCTCACTACGCCTCGCCATATCCATCGCCCGCTTATTCGTCCCATAACAGATTGAGTCGCGCCGAAAGCGACTTTGACTCTTTGTATGATGTTACCGACGATGAAGCAGAGGTCCCTCTCAAGATCTCAGCATCAGTAAAGAAGGTGGTGGCCAGGTCAAGTAGGAATCGATACCCGTCGATTATCATCCCCTCGCCTTCCGCTTGGCCGACAATCGAAAAGCTCCAGAGCGCTCTGTCGGCCACAGCAATGACGCCCAACCAATTGCTATCACCTTCCCGCAAAGGACTGTCCATGATCGCGTCACATAATCTACAGGTACCTGGACATTCAGCGGCACCGTCGTTGGATGGGAGCCTCACCTCGGAAGAGATGGACAAACTCAGTTGCCCTTCAACACCAGAGAATCAGCGACGCCAATCAATAGCAAGCGACGAATCATGGGGACCTGTGCAGCTCGACTATCAAGCCATGGAGACCCTTCAGCATCTCGGACACTCTTCGTCGGGGTACCCACCAACACGTCAAAGTTCAGAGAGGTCCCAGAGATCGCAACCCAGAGGCGGCGAAATGCAAGAAGTATTCCGACCTCCACTCCCTGGTCTTCCTCTCAAGATTCCTGCCATCACCCAAGGCAGCTCATCTGGTAACACACCCATCTCTGAGCTTTCCATACCTTCACCAGGAGGCTTTTTCTCTTCGCTTCATTCCACTGCCAGGCATACCTGGAGCTTGCCGGCAAGGAAAGACGACTCCGTGCCAAACACGTCGACCGCCGAGAAATTTTACCAGCTTCCGTGGGACAACCGAAGAAATACTATTGCCGAGCAAACCATCACTGTCCTCAAACCTGGTAGTACTCTCGCCGGCTCGACTTTGGATGGGTACGATGATGGGCTACCAACATCTCGGCCAGTCATGCTGGGGGATATCGAAGAGGTGGTAGAGATCAAAGAGATAGATCCAAGCCGGACAATTTTCCAGTACAACGAAAAGTACAACGCCGAGCTGCAGAAGATCTCCACTGTGAACCTCGAGCGCACAGGTCACTGGTTGGAGGAACAGGACGAGCTGCAAGCTGCTTTGCGTGAAATGAATGACATGAGCTCACCAAACGTTTCGAATGGCACTCATACTCGGGACAACTCGATAGAGAAAGTCGTCAAGAAGTCGGTGAAGTTTGCGGAGGAGCCGCAGAAGTCGCCGACCGAGAACAAGGAGCCAAAGCAGGTCTCAACATACATCCAAGGCTTCGAGTATCTTCGCAATCGCAGCCGACGTGACGATCCTTATATCCATCGTCAGACCCGGGCAGAGGCGCTGCATGTCGTGCGGAGATGCATGCCACAAGCCCATCGCGATCAGCTGCTTGGCAAGTACGAGCTCAACGACCCTGTGCGGCCATCTCCACCGCGACCCGTGTCAGAGTTCTACGTGGATGACCCAACGGTGTTGAAGGAGCGCATCGCTCGCGCGCAGATGGAGCGACAAGCTCTCGATCAGATGTTGCCTATTACATGGGTTCTACAAGCACTCAAGCTGCTGAACGGTGGTAAGCTGCTCAGCAAGCCAGGTTCAAGATGCGTGTCGCGCATACGCGAGCCACGTATACTCGATGTCGGGGGTGTGGCTACCAATGACTGGGCATGGCAAGTCGCGTACGACTACCCGTACTCCACAGTTGTTACTGTCTACACCGCGGGCCACAACCCTACATCCAACGTCAGTGGCCCTGACAATCACCGACACATGACTGTACCGAACTTTTGGACACTACCGTTCCCTAGTGATCACTTCGATCTAGTTTCTGCTCGCTCATTGCACGAGCTCCTGAAAACCGACAAGCCACTCGGCCGCTCAAAAGACGAATACGACCTGTGTCTAAGAGAATGCTTTCGCTGTCTGAAGCCGGGAGGCATTCTCGAGTTCTCACTTCTCGATGCTGATGTAATCCATGCAGGTCGGCAAGCGCAAGCACTGGGGGTGGAGTTTGGCTTCAATCTCAAAACGAGAGGGTATGATGCTGCGCCAACGAAATCATTCCTACCGCGCCTCCGCAAGGCTGGCTTCCGGGACGCGCAACGCATGTGGATGGTGCTTCCCATGGGCAAGACGGCGGCTAACTGGAAGGATGTCCTCCCCGTTGGCGCTGAGTCCCAGGAAGAAGAGCGTAGCATCACGCCAGGCGGGAATGTTCAAGTTAGTGAGACGCCTGTGTTTGGCACGACGATCGATGCGGCTATGGTGACGGGCATCGTGGGAAGTTGGATGTATGAAAAATGGATGTTGAGGTTGCAGATGGAGATGGGGAAGCCAGAAGAGAAGCTATTGGAGGGTGTGGTGCAAGTACTCGAGGAAGGCGCGCAAGAGGGCAGCGGGTGGAGGTATTTGACCGGGCATGCGAGGAAGCGGGCGCGGACGACATAGACGGTTGGTCTAGGGCTTCGGTTGGGTTCATCCGCATTAGCATGGTGTTTGGGGCTTTGGTGGTGGGTCGGCTTCGTATTACATTGTTGGGGCTATTCGAGGATACCATGTAGCTACCTAGGTACAATACACTCTGTCGTACACGACATGAATTTCTTCAGTGTAAACTATTTCCACTTATAATCTGCGTCCTCCCTGGTCCTGTATCATCAACCCGTGGACCGCACACATTCGGTGTACATCTGAGCGCACGGTGAATGGACTCACACGTGATTCTCGGCAAATCTTCGGCAGCCTCAGGTGCGCTGTCATAGCTCCAAACATCCCACCACACTTCGTCTTCAGACTCACATTGCGCCAAACCTACCACTCCACACTCGTCTCGGACTCTCACTCACGCGTATCAAACCCTCGAAATGCTCTTCTTCAGGTTCGTAATCAAGTCTACCAATCTCCAGCGCATTGAGCACGCCTCGCTCCCACTCGCGACACCGTCCATCTTGCGCGGACGATTGACAACGCTGCAATCGCCCTCACTGCGCCACAAAGAGTCTCTATCACTCCCCGCACTCGATATACTGGCCCTGGCACTTCTCTGTGTCTTGCCGATATCGCGGTGGTCTATCTCATTCGAGATTTGGGCTTTTGGAACATTGGCTGACGACGCGGTACAGCTTCTTCAAAACGCTCGTCGAGCACGAGGTCACAGTCGAACTCAAGAATGAGGTGCAGATAAGAGGGACGCTGAAGAGCGTGGACCAGTATCTGAATATCAAGCTGGATAATGCGGAGGCGGTGGATGAGATGCGGTGGCCGCATTTGGTGGGGATACCTTCATATTCAAGGTGTGCAAGGGAAGCAATCTGACTGATTCCACAGTGCTCGACACGAGACATGTTCATTCGTGGCTCCGTCGTCCGATACGTACACCTACCTGCTGGCGCGATTGATACGGCATTATTAGAGGATGCGACGAGGAGGGAGGCGGAGGCGGTTAAGAATAAGGCGAAGTGAGGGGCGGACAAGTAATTGGTCGGTATAACACAATGAGGGCAACTGAAAGCTCTTGAGCTCAAAGAGCTAGAGAAGTGAGGACGTACGGGAGAAGCAGCGCAAAGGTAGCGCCACAGCGATACCACGACACGTGCCGCTTCCAACTCAAGCGCCACCAATTGAATACGCCAATGGGAACTTGGCTCTACGATGAATAGGCCTTTTTTAAAGAGATGGGGTAGTTCTACAAATCAGGATCGACTTCAGTCCGAAGTTTTGGTTCTCCTACACCGTGTCCCATCTTGTCATGCCGTGTTCATTCGGGTTGGTGAATACAATGTTTCCAGACGGCAACGACTGCGACGCGTGTCTGGCGGGACAGGCTTCTGAAAAATCAAGAACAGTGCAGGGTTCACTGAGACGAAACTCAGACGCTCACTGCTTGGGGATTGAGGGTGTAGTAGCTCTCTCAGGTCTTACACATTGTTCAAGATACCACGTTTGCTCAGGAGCTAACATTGTGAAACAACATGATCTGGCACCAAACTGGAAGTCGTTGAGGTATATAAGAGGCCCGCTGATATGTCTAACTCTCCACCAGAAACCCCTTGACCCTTTTTCTCATTCACCCACAGCAACGATGTTCTCCACCAACACAAACACGCTCCGACGCCGCGATACATCAAGGCTCGAAAAAGGCCAACCCACCACCACCACCGAGGATACCTCACATTCATTCCTTGAGATGCTGCAAGCGCCAACAACGCATGCCTTCGATCGTATTCTCATGACTTGCATCCGCGTCGCGTGCCTCTGCCTCTCGGTCGTATGGGTGGTTCTGACAGTGACGGCGCTTGTGTTATGGATTGTGCTCGAGGTCTTGTGTGGGTGGTTGAGGAAAATGGACGAACAGGAGAGGAGGGAGACGGAGGAGCGATTTGAGGTTTGAGTTGATCTCCAACGTAGACTTGTATGGTACACTGTAGTCCATACGGATGCAACAGGGTTCAATGGAGATGTCTGGAGCTTGGCTGGTGGACAGAGAGTATCCTGAAAGCCCCTCACTCTTACTCACATTGCGACAGAGATTTTACCAACTCAAGTCGTTTGATGTGCATCTGCCTTCCGGACTGGCCAAGTATCCCTTACTAGAAAGCAGACCACTCTAGTCTCCACATGAATTTTCATAAAGCACATTGTTTTGTACAAATCTGACATGATCTTCATTTATTATCGTGACCTGTCTGGATCTTTTGATGAAGTGAGACACGCCCCCGCCAAAGTAAATCTTCCGTTGACGTCACTGCACTCCCGCTGTACCCAGGTAGTACAGACAGACTCAGACCACTCCAATCCCCGCAATTCTCTACAACCAACCTAAAACCAAATCCCCCATATCTCTACACGACAGTCCCAACGATGCCAGCGCCACGCTCCAGCCCCCGCCAATCCATCACCAGCGCCACCCTAACCATCACTCACCCTCTAACCCCCGAAACCATCCTCTCCCGCTACCACGCTCCGCGCCTCCAAACCCACAAAGTCCTCCGAGAAGCCGAGCAAGTTCGCGCAGAGGAGAACGGCTCGCTCTGGGTCTACCGGTTAGGATATATGCTGTGGTTGTATGTGCACGTCGCGAGGCACTCATGGCCCGACAGCTTTGTGCGACAGGTACGCGTTTGGTGTCCAGGCTGCCAAACTTGCCTTCCGACGGAGTGTCTGGAGTATGTTATGCGGAGGGTGCTGGTTTGGGCGATTGTGGAGATTTATGTGGGGTATCGGAGGAAGGAGGAGGAGAAGGGGAGACGGGAGGTCTGGGCGAGGGAGATTAAGAGGAAGGCTGTGAAGGGTGTGAGGGATGGGGGAGCGCAGATAGAGTAGGTGGGGGTGGCGGATGGCAGAGCAGGTCTCCGCTGCTGCGAGAAGGCTGTGGGTCTATGGGAGCATTGTGCAAGAATGAAAGACCCCAGAACGGTTCTGCCTTGCTGCCCAACGACTACGTCACGTGAAAGATACATTCACCGCTACGACAGCATCCGCATAAATAATCCTATACCCTCGATTTCATCAAGACAACCTCAAAAAGTATCCACAACCACCTTCACCATTCTCACTCCCAAACAATGGCACCTAAACACCGCACCACCAAATCCCTCCTCCACTCCACCCTCGCCTCCAAACTCCGTCAAGCCCGCGATCTCAAGCATGCGAAAGTCTACCGCAAGCCGCTAGCTCTACGTGTTCACGACGGTCTCTGCCTCGCAATTCGCGAGAAGCGGCACCACAAGTGGCTGGAATATTTTCGACTAGCACACGCATCCATGATCCAGGTTGGCGCGCAGTTTGGTGCGTATCAATGGATCGGCCATCAGGTGATTCGCTGGGGGCTGGTCGAGGCGGCGGTTTGGTGGATGGGGAGGAAGAATAAGGAGGAGTTGAAGAATACTGGGTCGGAGAGTGATCGGGTTTTGGAGGCGTCGAAGGATGAGAAGAGGGAGGAAGAGTAAGAAGAGCCACGTTGTTGCGAAGGGGAATGGATTTTTCGCAACGAGATTCGATGATGTGAAGAAAGGTTGCTGATGCAGTGAGCAAAGAAGAAGCTCGAGGTTGCTCCCAACATGCTGATTGCAAGTCCAGTACAATAATACCCACTAATGATCATGTCTGCGCTTTGGAATACCCGCGAATGCTCTGAAGTGATAGTTCCCACCCTCGTTCACCCTCGTGTCGATGTTCCCTTAAAACCCAGCTCGCGGCCTCACCCATCATGTACTTCCTTAGTGAGCTCCCATTCATGTCTTCACAACCGCTTCGTTGTTAGCCCTTTCCCCACCCGTCTCCCCTCCAGCCGGTCCAACCCCCCTCCTCTCCCCCACCTGCCCCCTATCCAAACAATAATCCTGCACATCATCAAACCTGCGCTCCCTGACCGCCCTCGTCGCATCCTTTTTACACTCATCGCACAACACGCCATCTTCCTCAATCGTCCGCACCAACCCCTCGGCCGTCTTCCCAAGGTCCTCGATCTCCCGTCCAAGCTCCTCCAAACCCCTCTTCACCTCTTCGGCTCTCTTATCCCATACCTCGCTGTGCTTCCGATGCTCCTCGAGTAAGAACCGGAGATGCCGTTTTGCGGCCCATAGGTAGAGGTGCCTCCACCCGTATAAGAAGCCCCAGGATGTACCGGCGGATATGGTGAGTGTGAGGGGCGTGAGACGTATTCGTGGGCCGGTTGTGTGGAGGAGGATGAGGGCGAGCGCCGTGAAGTGGGAGAAGAGTGAGATGGATGGCGGTTGGGGGATGAATTTGAAGAGGTTCATGGTTTGGGGCTCTCGGAACGATGGTTGTTTATTGGGGTTGTGTTGTAAGAGCAGAACGTGTTGGCTCGATAAGAGAGGTGTAACGCGTGTATGGATAGAGGAATAACGATGGTTTATTCGCGATGCTGGTGTAGTGAAGATGTTGTGTCTCAAAGGTTTGAGTGAACCCTAGGAAGGGTTGGTGACTGCATGTGTGGCGTGCTTGCCGATTTTTACTTCTTGGCGGAACAGTCACTGCATCAAAAGACAACAGCATACAGCAGTAAATGGTTCGGCCTGAGGTTCAACCTTGCTTGACGCAGGCAACTCCTTCGCTCTCAATTGAGCATCTCGTCTGAAGCCCAGCGCTCTGAATCCCACCCTCAGCACACCACGAACAGAGCCCTTGGCGAATACTGTCCTAGTCTTCCGCTGCTGATGTTCCAATTGCCGCTGAGAGAAGAAAAGAGAGGCTACTTACCTTCGACACAATTCCACAAGACCTCGTTATTTGGTACACCTCTCGGGACTAGTCACATATGTGTCCCCTGTGCAGCCTGATATCAGCTTTCGAGCTGGACAAATGGCGGGATTATATTATCTGTGAGTGTTCCACTCCCTATGCTTCTACCACAGTATGTATCGAACAGTGACAATCTGCACCTGCGCAAATGTTTGTCTTTGGGCCTGCTGCTACTGGCGGCGATATTGACTGAGGACGCTAATTCAAAGAGTGTTTTCAGTCGTGTCGGATATCGAAATGATGTCTTCTCCTTCGAGATCCTTTCAATGCCCTATCCCGGGCGCTCCATTGGTCTGTTCTGGGGTGCGGCCGTCTTCACAAGCTGTCGTCCGTACCCAACATGGAATAATAGCCCGCGATGGGGATTTTTCCTTTTCATTTTCTTCGGCTGCTCGACTGCGAACATCTCGGCGATAGAACCTTCCACTCCAAAGGTTAACCCGTTGCCCCATGCATATGGAAGTCTTCTCGATTTGCTCTTGCCAGAACAGTCACACTAGATCTTATCAGCAAACTCAGACCACCTATCGGAAAGATCACCTTACCAGTGTCCGCCACCTACGGTAGTCACGAACTGAGAACTCCAAGTTTTCTGGTGGGTGTAATGAGTAGAATGCACGTGGGCTGTCGCCTTCGCGACAGAAGATTTCGATCTTATGTCCTGCGCTTCTCAATCCCTGAATCATGGGATACAATTTCTTGATGTAGTCCACTGCGTACGCGTCTTCCAGGAACGCCTCCGTATCAGATTCGTCGCTATCTTGCCAGAAGCCGTCATATTCTCTCTCCATGGTCGACAGTCTGAGTTGAATGCTAGTGCGCTTCGAGTATCCCGCCTGGTATCCGAACGCTTTCTCGAGTTCCTCCGTAGAGAACTCGTCACCTTCATTAATGTAGATCGCTACTTTATCAATGAAGTCGCCTCTACGTATACCATGCCGATCCACTTGCCCAAGCCAGGAGATCGTCTCAGGGTAGCGGTAGTTGTGCACGGTGAAGACAAAACGCAAAGCTCCATAAGAGTGCTCGGCTAATTCTTGCAGTACGTCAGTGCCAACGTACTCGGCATCGAAGAAGTAATCGCGTCGAAACATCTCACTGGACCTGTGGGCGAAGTCATCTGGATCATGATCTGCCCAATCGTGGGGCTTAGTATCGGGGTGGAAAGTCGAGCCTTGAGGCAGCAGATACTGGTAGATTTCATCTCGCAGCTCACGTGGGAACCTGGTGAAGAGTCTTTGGCAAATTTGTAGGCACGAGATTTTGGCGTAACGTTCAATCGCCTCCATGTCGGCATTGCGTTCGTTCCACTCCTGTGCTGACCGGGTAGGCTTAGAGGATGAGAACGCTTCACGCTCTTGCTCGCGTGCAAATGCTCTATGTCTACGTCAGTCAAATTAATCGTGATGTGAATAGGAAGGAGTGCGCACAACGCAGCCTCATGGCGATGCTCTTTCACATCCGTATCCGTTACCATGATGGTACTGCCGGAGGTCGTCATGCTCGCTCGGGCAGCTCGGTGGTTGAGTGAGAGAAGGAGAGGGGAAGGTAGGAGGGCGAGCCTCTGTGTAGGTTAGCTGGTCTTGGCACATCGCCTAGATCACCCGGGCAGCGGTGAAAGAGACATTGTGATTACGCTAGGTATGAGCCCCATGCCCATTACATGCATGAGATCTGTAACAGGGTCTAATTTTCCATTTTCATTCTAATCCTTGTACTTCTTGAATCCCTACTGCCTGTACTGGGCTTACGGGGTGACATAACCTGTTCTCTCTTTCTGCGTCATTGTAGGTAAATAGGCCGGGAACTCAGGTCTCCACACTGATTTTGGAACTAGGAATTACGAGCCTCAAACGTGAATTCGTTGATTTTCATATTTTAGTTTTGTATCTTACTCCTCCACGGATAGGTTTGGACGCAACCAAAGTTGAGCCATCATGAGAACCACGGATCTCCAAAGAACAACAACTCAACAACTGAAGCTCTTACGAGCAGAACACTGCTCTCTCTCTAGCAGTAGAGTCTTTCACTCGATGGCGTTCGTTGTAAAAAACCAAGGAATTCGTCATCCTAACAAGATGCGTTAAAGATATATTATCTAGAGTCGACCGGGCCTTCTGTATGCTGAAAATGGCGATGATTTTGATGTCCCACTTTCTCTTTGACTTTACATTTCACATTAGCGAATCGTCCGCGATTGTCCATAATCGATTTGCATTCCCATGAGCGCCATGACAGGTTGGGTCACAGGTCCAAGAACACAAGTCAATATCCAAGGTCGCATTTTGAGCGGTGTGGTCGATTTACTCGAAGAACATATCGAGGATTAGGGTGGTCGCGGTTCTGGGAATCATTCCAAGCCACATAGTCAAGATTTGGCAGTCAGAAGATAGGTCAATCACATGCGAGATATTGCAAGGTGAAGACAGCATGCTTATGAACTTGTCGTAAATGTTACGAGATATTGTTGACATCTATAGACTGTACCACGAATTCCGATATGGAACAATCGGCTGATTGGAAGGCGCTACACATTGTGTTTCGAGGCATTTTGATCATTACATACGAGTTGCGGTTCTCGTCTCTCCAAAAGACATGGTATCTCGCGCTTACTCACTCAGTGATAGAGTGTCATTAAAGTCTCGTGTATACGAGTCAGTGCTAGTCGTTCCAATTAATGCATTGTCTCGGACGATTGTTTGCTTCGAATGTCTCAGCATGCAAATCCTTCCCTGAACTTTGGAGACTCTCCGACCCTGCACGTATTCAGCCCCAACTTTGCTATCACCATCTCCATCATCACCTAAACGCCCACCTCGTATCTAAATACTCTCAGTTACGCCATTGCCTTCACTTAGATGTCTTGATCAAGCATGCATAACTCCGACTATTTACAGACTGACCCCCTCTGTCTGAGTTCCATCTGTCTGAGTCGCATCTGTTCTGCGTGTAAATATTAGTCATGTGTATTCTCTCTGTATCGCCATTACATGCGACCTCACCGGTATTCGTTTCTGTACGAACTTCTGCTGGGTCATCTCATCATCTTGAAGAACGTATTCATAGATGTTAATCGGATTGTTTTCGACCAATATCTTGACCTCATGTCCGGCCTTCATGATAGCTCTAAGAATCCCGAAGATACCTTCCAAGAAT